GGAGGGGTGCATTGCAATCAATATACACGACACGTGTGGGTGGGTGGGTGGGTGGGTAAGTGAGTGGTTGGGGTGGGTGGGGATGTGGGCAATACAATACACGCCACGCGGTTGTCTATCTTCACTACACACGAAGCCCTAGCTAGCAGCGACGCAGTCAGTCAGTCAAAACCCGCCGTACCTGTGTGTACGGGGGAAACAGCAACCAGCCACACACACACAGCACAGCGCAGACACACATCGATGGAGGGATGGATCGAAGAAAACAAAACCTGGCTGACAGTGGCGGGGGGAAGGGTGGGGGGTGGGATGCATTGACGTCTCTCTCCCTCTCTCTCTCTCTCTCTGGCAGGGAGCTCAATCAAACAACATGGCCAGTGGCCACACATCCACACATCTAGCCTTCTCAGCGGCCGTCCCCAACCCCTGTGCACTAGCGACCGACCGACACACACACACACACAGGTGGGTGGGGGGTGGGGGTGCCTGGGGGAAATGGGGGCATTCTGATGATGACCTGCATGATGGTCGGTCGGTCGGGTCGAGCCGAAAAATCTAAGAAGCAATCAATCAATGAATGGGTGAAGAGAAGACACCGAAAAACAAGCAAGCCACGAGGCAGATTAGATAAGAATCGGGAGTCGAATGGAATCGAGCAGAGCGGACGACCCCCTGCGTGTCGTGTGCGCATCAGAGCATCCCTTTCCACGCAGCCATCCGTCCAGCCATCCCTCCCACTGTTGCACCGTACCAACAGAAACAGTTCCCAGCGCTCCCTCCCTCCCTTTCTCCCTCCCTCCCTCCCCCATCCATCCATCCGTCCAGTCCACCAAAACCTCCTGCCTTGGAAGGACACTGCCACTGCCACATTATCTATTTCACCCACTCACCTGCCTGTCTGTCTGTCTGTCTGTCTGTCCTCCCCCTGCAGTCACGACAGATGCACCACCCGTATGCATCTGCCCGTCCCGTCTGTGTGTGTGTTTGTCCCTGTGTGTACGTCTCATACACCCAGCGACACCCCACCCCACCCACCCCACCAATGCAATGC